GCCAAACATGCCAATATTAGCACTGATGGTGCGTAAATGTAACTCGCTGGTCAAACAACTATTCAAAGTTCCTAAAGCTCTTTGTAAGGCTTGTTGAAAAACTCGTTGTCGGACTTGATTAATCGCTCTTTGTTGTTCAAAATGAATAGTTTCGTTTTCGTAATTTTCTAATCATTCCAAATTCTTTTAAGTTGAATTAATCAAATTCAATTTTTCTCGTTCTATCTCAGAGTATCCATTTAMTCGAAACTCATCTGCTTCCATTTCCACTTTCCGTAAGCGAGGGGCGCCCGTACTAAGCACAGGCGATGAATATCGAATTGCATCAATTGTAAAAAATTAAGAAGAAAAAAAAAAAACAGGATTTCGCTCATTTAAGACTGGTCATCCCCGAATACAAAAATTGAATTGTTTCTTGGGAGATCCCTTGGACTGGTATCTCTCCCCAAACTAAAAACTAAGCTGAAATGCTGTTGCTAAAGTGGGTTGAGATGGTACAGGGGAGCCAGATTTAGGGGAGTTCACATTGGCACCCCACATGCACATCTCAAGTGCATTGGGAGCACCTCCCGTATTTGTCATTGAAAGATGTTTCCAATACATGGTTGGGATGTGTTGTGGAGCGTCCGTACACCAGTGCAACTTCGGCTTAGGGATTAATGGTCCTAATGAGCTGAAGCGAGAGCAAATAATTTAGAATAGCAGACTTAAGCAATCTATCAAACATGATGATTTTGTGAAAAAGAAGGGCGGCTAGGATGGAGTTTTGAAATGGTTGCACTATTTTCTGTTATTTACAGCAGGAAAAAGGCTAACAAAGGATCACATAAAGGCCACGTTCTACTGGTATTTACAACAGAGGAACACCTCAAAGAGGGGCCTTATGGCGGTTTATACGGGTTAATGGCATTTAATTTCCAGCACTAGAGGGATGCAAAATGAGAGGTTCAAATTTCAAAAGAAAACTGCACTTCCAGTTCCATACATCTACATTAATACCTCCAACTTCAACCCAACATCAAAATACGGTTTATACAGGTTAATGGCATTTAATTTCCATATCTTTCTACCCCCCTTCGACTTTAACAAATCAATTCCTCTTACGGGTTGGTTCTGTTGATGGTCTTGTATATGCACATGACCCATCTACAACAACGACGATGGTGGATTCCATTGTAAGACTGTATTGGTGGTTGAATTGTTTATTATTGGTATGAGAAACAGATCCGTTCTGGAACAACACAGTAGCTGGAAGTCTGAAACAATAAATTTCAGTTCAAAGAATATGAATAAATGGCAAAAATCCTGAAAATTAGACTATATAGGGCGGCCTCTCATGCGAAGGTCAGTGGCTCTAGATGCCATGGCTCTCAAGGCTTCCCTGGCCGAGGAAAAAGAGCTCCTTGTCCTTGGTTGCACATGATGAGCTCCCCCCCTAAGAGCCCCCATGAATTCTTCCCTCTGCAATCTAAAAGCCAATGCGGCATCTTCCTCTTGATTGGGGACTCGTCTTCCTCTTCTCACACTCTGCTCTTGACTACTCCCTCCTCTTCTTTTCCTCCAACTTGAACCCAATGCCTCCTCTTCCTCCTCCTCCACCTGAGTAGACGTTCATCTTCTTCTAACTATTGTTCCTATTCTTCTGGGAATTGGGATATTTCAACTTGCCTCTTCAGGGCTCCGGCGCTTTGCTTCATGGCTATTCAGCATTCCTGATGCCTTTCTTGCTTCAACTTCTTTTGGAAACAGTAGTTGTATCGTGTTCCAAAGAACTATGTTGATTGTGCAAGATCACCCATTGCTGCAAACTCAAAGGAAGATTACTTTTAAAGCCCTACAAACTCATAATAAAAGAAAATTCTTCAAATCTCCAATTTCTTATGACTGTCATATCTAATTAGCTGCCTGCCTGCATTTTGGGCATCGCTTTCCACATTTATCGCCAGCCGATCGCAGGCATTTCTTGCAAAAGCTGCGAGACAAAAATCTCGATCAGGACAATAAATTCAAAAGAAAATACTCAAAAGGAGGGAATTAATCCACTGAAGAGCAATTACTGTTTGAATTTGTTTTCTTTTGCTTGTGGCCACAAGGAGTGGTATTCGGTTCGGAGCAAATCTCAAGACAAATCTGAACTCAAATATATAGTTTGATCAGTACAAGTGGAAATCTACAACTAAAAACTAGGCAACCAACATTAAGCTTAGAAGTTCCTTACCGCGCAAGAGAGCTCTTCCCTTAGTTTATCCATGCAAGGGAAAGATGAACCTGAATAAGAAACATCAGAAGATTCCTCTGGCAAAGCAACTTTGCCTTCTTTTCTCTGCTTCTCTTCAATAACTTTACTTTATGAATCCATCTTCTCTGCATATAATCATAAAGAAAAGAGAACTTCGAGCGAATAAGCAATTCAACATCTAGACATGACTCCAAATAGAAAACAGAGTCCCCATTTCAAAATAAACAAAGTTTAGATAATGATGGAGGAGAAACATTGAAAGGGGAGGAACAAAAAAAAGAAAAAGAAACATTACCCTCTCCAGCAGTCTCTTCATCATCAAGGTTAAAGACAACAATAGGAATTGAAGCGGGACTCTGTCTCTGTGCTTTGCGTTTTCTGAGAAGATGAAAAGAACAACTAATGTTGAAAGGAAAATATCGCATGAGAGAATTGGAAAAATAAGGAAGAAGAATTGGATTACCTTCTCGAACTGGTTTTTGGGGACTTAAACTAAAAATGGCCACGCTTCTTCTCTTTGGGTTCTCATTCAAAAGTACTACTATCAATCACACATGTTGTCAGTCCACTGAAGAGACGGTGCCTGCATGACATAATTAAATAAAAGATTTATGAATAAATGAGGTTTCCATCCACATCATTCAAAAGTACTACTACTGGTATTAGTGCTGCTGCTGCTGCTAGTGCTACTACTAGAATTAATAAAATATAAATAATCGAATTATTTTCATGGTTAATAGGAAAACCAAGAAACCAAAAATCACCTCTAACCCTTCACGAAACCAGAGAACACAATGAAACAACCAAAAGAAATCATCGGTAACCAACAACTTTCCTGGCTACAATTCTGTCTTCGTTTCTAACATCTCTACAAGAAAAAAAGTTCTTGGCTACAATTATGCCTTCGTTTCTAACAACTTTGATAGAAAAAAAAATGGTTCTGTTATAAAACTGTACAAACTGGTATAGTGAATAGTGATAGTATATGAATAGTGAAGGATGGAGCCTATAGAAATAAGAATATGGAGATGAGTATGTTATGCAAAAAAACATAACGAAGACAATGATCGAAAATATTTCTTAATATAATGAAAACATAAATTGAGATATTTCTTAATATTGGTACTTACAGGGATATAGATCAAACAGGTAGATGATACAACAACACACAATCTCACACAAAATTACAAAGCTCACAAATAGCACATTTCTAAGATCACTTGGAAAGAAAAACACTCAAACTATTGCAAAGTACTTGAGAACTTGGAGATTCTGCACTTCGGAGTTTTTTTTTTTGCACACCTTCRACTAAGAGAAGAGCTCCTTGTATAGAGGCTGCCRAGACTTCCAGAGATAGACAGTCTGGAGCCACTTTATTCGATCTTATCTCTAAGGCCTATATAATTGAGATGTCTTTTTACTTTTCTTATTGTGCATCTTAATTATTGAGATGTTAATTTATCTCCATCTTGTCCTATTATGAACAACTGTCAAAACTTTTACTATTTCGGATGAGATGGCATCTTCAAATAGTGTCATGTCTGGTGCGGGCTGAGAGAACGAACACTTTCAGTCTCGAGGTCTTTCGAGATTCTTTTGCTTTTGACATAACTTATAGGTAACAGGAATTTCTCCTATGGTTGTTGTGATCCCTAAGGAATCAATCTGGCAAGGAATGATAGACAATAGAAATGGAGTGCCCAAGATAACTTCTTGTCGTAAGTCTTTTACCATGAGAAAGGTGGATTTCAAATGAATTCCTTGATTACAATGGGCCATAGGGATTTTAWATTTTATCTCAAGTTTTCTTTCATCTGCTGCATTAACTTGTTAAGAGGTTTTCTCAAAGTATCTAGAAGGTACAATTCATTCTCTAATGAAGCTAATGTCTGCCCCTGAATCTATTAGGACTACCATCGAAATGTTGTAATCTTTGGTTCTAATGGTAATTTTAGAGTACCATTTTTTGTACTTTACTTCATCTATAGAGTATATGAACTCTTCATCATTTTTGACAAACACAACGGATTCTTGTTCTGAGGATTTCTCTTATTGGTTTTCCCAAAATTTCCCAACTTATAATTGATCAATCCTTAGTTTTAGGGTTTTTATTTCTCTTTTTATTTGACTGACCTCTGCACGCAAATCATGTATAGTGGGAGGTCTGGAGTTCTCTGCCTGAGATCTTTTAATAAGTTCTCTGTAGGAAATTACATTTCTCTCATCCAATAGCCTTTTAGTATTTTCTTTACCTTCCTTTTCTTCCCTGCTTTGTAAAGCTGTAAGCAGATATTTTTTCTTAGATTCCTCATTAGGAATTTCATCGAGTATTTCGATAAGATATTCTTCATCTAAGGTTAATACATTGATTTCTCCTGACTCTTCCTTTTTGGTACTTGTTTAATTTTTACAAGTACATATGTCATTGGTACAATATTCTTCTGAGGAAGTAGATGATTCCCTTAGAGAGACTTCTTCTTCTTCCTTTTCTTCTAGTTCATTGATTTTCTTGGAGGTGTTTTTATTTTTAAAACACTTATTGGCATAATGACCTTTTTGCCCGCATTTGAAATAAGTTGGGGTTGAAGGTTTTCTTGTTTTAGAAAACCTTTTAGATTTCTTGTATTTCTTATTTTCCTTTTTCCTATAGAAATTTGTTTTCTTTTTCTTATGGGTCGGTCTGGAAGCGGAGGATTCAGAAGCCATTCCAAACTAATAACAAAAATCTCCTAACTCTCTTTTAGAGTTAAATCTTTCCTTTTTAACTTATCTCTATAGACGTAGATCATTACATAATTCTAATCCTATATGATTTACTACTTGGACTAGATATCCATATGAGTAATTAGAGTAAATAATTCTACCACCTCCTATTTGTCTAATGTAGGTCATAACATTTTCAATAAATACTAGCGGGAGTCTATAAATGAATTGTTCTTTCCATAAATCCTGTCTGGAGTTGGTTAGCCTATGAACTTTAGACAATAATACATCCTTATACCATCTAAAATCATATAGGATTTTACATTTAATATTTATTAATTGTTCCCTTATCGTCTAAGCCATGTCGTAGGAATTTCCTATAAACTGACTTAAGATATTAAGGATTAGAGTCATAACCACATCAGGTATTGTTGGCCCTGACTAAGGATTATGTCACCATCTTCATCTCCTTTAACAACATTAAGGATATAATATCTTTTTGCCTCAGTGAGATAATTGATTCACCAGCCTTTTAATTTCCCTGTAAAGGATTATGTGATAACTACAACTATTACCTTTTCATCATTACCAGCCAAATTGCTGGCACATGCATACATAGTCATGTGTTGTATCATATCGTGGATCTAGTATTCAGATTTTTCATCTAAATTCCATTTGTAGAATGTGTTCTAGTTATATCCAACTTGGGGTTTCATTGGCTCTTCGAATAAAATATCAACTGGGGTATGCCTATGGTAATAAAGGCTTCTTACTATAATAGGAGAGTTTATTTATCTCAAAGCTTTTTATAGATTCATCATCTGCTGCTGATTCATCATTTGATTTTTCACCCATAAAATTCACTGAGTGGGAATCTGATAGATCGTCATCTTTCTTAATTTTAGAGGATTTTGAAGTTTCTCCCTTTTCCCAATTTGATGGGGATATCAGTTTGGCAAATAGTTCCTGATAACTTACTTTTGATAAGTCTAATGGGGTTGTTTCTATTTTCATATTTTATGGGAAATATGGCATTATTGCCATTGGTTTTTCCTTTTTATTTATGGTTCTAGATTTAGAAATTTCTAAGGAGCTTTATAAGGATTCTATCCTATTAGTTTGTTTACCTAAACCATTTAGGCATATATTTGTATAGTTAATTTGTTCTATAAGTTGAGAATAATGTTATGGAGAGATCTTTTCAGATTCTTTTACTATTGTCGAATTTTTTTATTGGGCTAACTACGAGCTCATCTTTTCCTATTTTTATTGCTTTCAATGGTGGATGTATGGATTCCACAAATTTTCTAGTGACTTCTGTCTTCCAGGCATTAGACAGCTTTTTAGTAACACACAAATCTAATTCTTCAGAGGGAGGTTTTATTTTCTTGAACTATTTTTGTTTTRCAAACCATTCCCAAAATGAGATATTTTCTTTTAATTCCTTCATATCTTCGTACCATAACTCTTTGATACGATCTCTTTCTTCTTTAGAGAATTTTCCAAATAACCATTTATTCTTTAAAGGTTGTGAATTAAAGTTTAACCTGATAAAGTCTTTGTGTATTTGGAAATCTTCTTCTATTTCCAACATATTAATTTCAAAGTCTGCCTCTGTAGGCTTGTAGGATTTAACTGACTGGTTTTCTCTTTGAGTTGTATGATAGTCCGAATAAGGGGTATACATCATTGGTGTTTCATAAGTGGCATAAATGATGCTTGGAGGAGGACGTGTTAAATCTACCGATCTTCTGGATCTTGTATCTATTGATTCGGCGTACGATGGCCGCGATGATGTCAATGCTCTTCTAAACCTTAATTTTACCGATCCATCTTGTTCACTGAATATAGATGCTAATTTAGTATATTTGATAGGGCCGGGAGGTTCTGCTTTAGTAAGTGACCAACTTTCCGGTAATTTACTTCATTCCAAGTGATTTGCCTAGGAATTGTAACATTATTCCTAGCATTGGTCTGGAATAGGGTAGTCATTCCCCTAATTCATGTTATCCTGTTATTAGGACAGATAGTATTCATGGTCTTAAAGTATACTCAGTACAGTCCTGTTATCCTGGTTTCATGTTGAACCCTTGGGTTTGAAGCCTGAGGGTTAAGGCTTCATGAATCCCTGGATCTGTTAGTGACAGAGAAGTTTGGGAAGGCATTGAAGTAAATTGGCCCTTAGTGAAGGCTAACTTCTATCACCCCTAATAAGGAGTCACTAAAACTATTATGTATAGAATATGTCAAATAGGCTAAAGCGGTTGTTTGTAATCCCAGTCTGGTTAATGGTTTAATGGTTACTTGTATTAAGCTGTATGAAATTACAGTCAAACGGCCCACATGCTAGCACGGTATGGCTTGCGAGGCCTTTAGCGGGCCACGCTCGGCCCACCCAGAATTGGGCCCCCCCAAAGGGGCCCAACAGCTAGTTTCAGCTTTTTGGGTTTTTTTTTTGTATAGAAATACCCCCGCAATAGCTATAAACAACCATATTAGGGGGGTGTTTGTGTTTTTTGCTTATAGGGGTTGAAAAATGACATAAATGCCCCCAACAGCTATATAATAACTAGTTTAAGGGGCTTTTTGGGTAAAGTTATAAATAACTCTACAATGACCAAAATACCCCTCATAACAACTAAATAACAACTAGTTTTTTTGGTATTTTGGGCAATTGAATTATGTTCAATTCCTATAAATAGCCATATCCTCCACCATTCTCACTACACCAATTCAACAATTCTCTTAATCTCTCTCCTCTCTCTCTCATACTCATACATTCTCAATTCTCTGCAATCTGAGTAATTCTGATTAACTGATTGTTTGATTATGCATTCTCCAATTCTCAAGTCTCAACTTTAAAGAAGTTTTGACTTTCAACAAGAAGAAGGCTTGCTCAACCAGTTCAAGTATCTCAATTTGGGAGGCTTGGACGTTGAAAGGCTTAAACCGTTGAAATCAAGTTGGGATTTTGAATCGGTAATCCAGGTATGTCGAATTAGATTAATTTTTATCTTTTTAGAATTAAAAAAAATGGTTGACTCTTCTGATAATCAATTCCCCAACATGTTCACCATTGATGATAGTCAATCACATCATGATAGTGTTAGCACTGATGTGATTGATGTCGATGGAAGTGGAACTTTCACCCCCGGTACTAATACTATGGGAAAAATGAGGGCCTCTAAGCTGAGTAGCCTGGTTTGGAAAATTTTCAAAGTATAGGATATTGAGAGGAAGGGGAAAAGGTCCATTTGCCAAAAATGTATGAAGGACTTTAGTTATTGTAGCAATGGTGGTATGGGTCATTTGAGTAAACATCATCTGCTCACACATGAGAAAGAAGAAAATGAAGGGAAAGAAACAACCCAAACACAATTTGGGATGGGGGTAGCTTTGGTACTTTCAAATATTCACAAGGAAAAATGAGACAAAAACTTGCTAAGTACATTGTACATGCAAAACAACCATTTATATTAGCTGAAGATCCAAAGCTAGAAAAATGGTTGCGTAGTTGTATAAACCCACAATATAAAAAAGTTTATAGGAATACTACAAGAACTGATGCTTCAAAAATTTTTTATTCGTATAAACAAAATTTAATTTATCTGTTAGCAAATCTTAATTCTAAAGTTGCAATTATTTCGAATGTTTGAACATCCAAATTTAATATTAGTTATATTTGTGTTATCGGCCATTTCATTGATGAAAATTGGCTTTTGAATAAAAGAATTTTAAGTTTTTTCTCGGCTTGAATGGCCACATAGTGGCCCAGCTATTGCTGCAAGTTTTTATTAGTTTTGATAATGCTAGCAATAATGGTTCTCCAATAAATATTTTAAAATCTCAATTATGATCATGTTTAAATGGTAAATTATTTAATATTAGATGTGCATGTCACATCTTAAATTTATTTATTCAAGATGCCTTGAATATTATTTCTACTCATATTTCAAAAATTAAAAATTCTATTATATATATATATATAAGTTAAGGGGCAATAAAACAAGAATTTAAATATTTATGTCAAAATTATGATTTAAAATATAAACATTTTATATTAGATGTAAAGCATAGGTGGAATTGTATATATGCTATGTTTGAAAGTTGTATTTCTCATGAATGACCTAACCATGGATATATATTAATATTTTATATTTTAAATATAATTTTAATATTGAAAATTGTGAAATTCCCCATATTTTGTAGTCTTAAATCTTTTATATCATAAATCTAATTTTTAAATTTATTTTTTAATAATTGCACTGTATTTTTTTAAATTAAATTAAATTTTTAAGTTTAAATCTTTTAAACCGACTAACCAAAACAAAAAAGTCGACCCAAACCGATACAACTTAAGTGGGTTGGATTTCACAAAAGGTCAATCGGTTTTAGCTGACCAACTCCCCAACCTAACCAAGTCAATTTGGTTGGCCAAATAGCCTAGGATCAAACCGAACCAACTCACGAACACTCATAATTTCAACTAAGTTAATAGTCACATCTTTGATAAATTAGAATAGTTTAATCTCTAGTAATTATTGAAAATTTATAGCAAAAAACACAATTATTGAAAATATACTGATAATGAAAGATACACAATTATTGTAATAATTACAATAATTAAAAAAATACAATAAGTACTAAAAATATATTAACTTAATCAATAAATAGTATAATCTTTAATAAAAAGTAATCAATAAGTTATAACAAAAATATAATAAATACAATAAGTACAATTAGTTAAATTTAAAAATTTCGATAAAGGTAGTTTAATCTCCAATAATTATTAAAAGTTTTTTGTTAAATAGAAAATAAAATAAATGTTTACATAATCATTAAAAATACATTTATCACAAAAAACAATAAATAATTACTGAAATACAATAAATATTAATTTTAGTATATATAATTATATAATAAATACAGTTTAAGAGTTTAAAATTATTATAAATAAATATTATCTTTTGAAAGTTATTTTCTTGAATTCTTATTCGATATAATTGAAATTAGTTATTTACAATATCATGTAAAAATATTAAATTATTATTAATTTCAATATTATGTTATAATTATTTTTCTAATTTTTAGGTTTTTTTTTTTTATATTTATTACATAATTTCTTTATTTTAACTATTTTAAATCTAGTTATGCTAAATAATTTGTTATTTAAAATATTTATTTATTTAAATACTTAAATAATATGTAAAATATTTAAAATTTAAAATATGATTTATTTGTTGAATTTAATTATCCATTAAATCACAATTTATACTATTGTTGCATAATTTCATTTTTTAATTTTGTAATATATTAAATTATTATTAATTTCAATATTATATTATAAATATTTTTCTACTTTGAAGAAATTTTTTAAATTTATTACCTAATTTCGTTATTTGAACTATTTAAAATCTAGTTATGATAAATATTTAATTATTTAAATATTCAAATAATCTATAAAATATTTAAAATATTTTTTATTTAAATTTTATTTATTTAAAGATATTACATATTATTAAATATTCAACAAACATTTAAATTGATAGTCTACAAAAATATAATTTAAATTGTTAGTACATAATTTCGTGATATATTTTGTAAAAATATAAAATTATTTTTTTTTGTTTTTAATAAATATTTTAAATTCATTATATAATTTTGTTAGAATACTTAATTAATTTTTAAATTTTTTAGTCTAAACTTTTCTTTAGATTGATATAGATAAAAAGTAGGGGAGATGATAAATAGGAATTAGAGATTATTTAGGAGAGATTCTTTTCTAAATTAGAGATTGTTTTTGAGATAAATAGGCATTAGAGATAATTTATAAGATAAATAGGAATTAGAAATAATTTTGGAGAAAATAGGGGATAGTGGGGGAGGTAGTTTAAGAGAGATTGAGTATAATTGGCAAAAGGGAGTGGAGAAATCGGGCCACCTGGAGACCAAACCATATACAATCCGATTATAGTTAGGTCAGGGATTCAATAAATATGATCGGGTTGGGGTTGGTTCCAACCGGACATAACCCAACCCGATTAGCAACCCCGAATAAAGGCTCAGTTTGAAAGTAGTACAAATGCAAATATGTACAATGCAACTATATACAAAATAATACAAATTACAAGATTTTGCACTCTAGTATTTGCATTTGTACTCATTCCAAAATAAATGACCCTTAGACTTATAAAATATAAATACATACAAAATAATACAAAATACAATGTTTTGCGCTCTATATATTTGCATTTATACTCCTTCGAAATAGAGCTTAAGGAGTAATATTTGTCGAGAATGAAAATGATTACAAACCGGTTCCGAAAACTACCACGTTGGAAAACGGGTAATGGGTGTTATTGAAAAATGCCGTTTTTACAAATCGCGTCCGTGTTGTCGGAAACCCTGCAGACTAATGTCGAATGGGATGGGCGTGTCGGGTCAAGGCAGACCACCCGCAGGATCGAATTTAATGGGAGTTCCATCCATTGGAAACGAGTCAAAGAAACCGAAAGTCTGAGAGAGCTTCCGCAGAGCAACTCAGGAGGGAAGGAGCCAGAGAGAGAGAGAGAGAGACACCAAAGATGAACGTTTTCAGATTAGCCGGGGATATGACCCATCTCCTCAGCATCATCATACTTCTCCTTAAGATCCGAGCGACGAAATCCTGCACAGGTATATTCTCTGTCCACCTTTGTCGGTCTTTCTCTCCTTGTTGTTTCCATTGATTATGCGGTTTTTCCTGTTCCTTAAATTCCATTGTTGGGTAGCGATAGAAATTAAGAAAAGGACAAATAATTATTGGGTTTTCCCTTGGTTACTGCTTCTAAATAATGGATAATTGACAAGTAGTAACAATGAGGAAATGAGGCTTTTTTTTTTTTTGAGAAAAAATTGATATCATTCTTGGTTATCAATGCATGTCTTTCTAGTTAAACAGGGAGGTTTCATATAAAATTTCCCATCTGTATCCATAAATAAAATTCAAACAGTTGTAGGCAGTTTCATTGAGCTCTTGACATACAAGGGTTGACACGAATTGCTCATGGATCCAGCTAACTCCCGTGCCCCTGTCATGATATTTCTAGTTCATTGCGTCAAGTAACCTTTTTTTTCCTGTTTAACTGTTTGTTTTTTTCGTGTATATCCATTGTCCAGTTATGTCGATTTAGTAGTGTTTTTGTTGTTGGCTAATATCTGTACCTCCATCGTTGTCTTTTTATTGTTTTGTTTTTCAGCAGTTTGGCTCTTCTGTGCTCTAACTTTAGATTTGATGAGATTAGTTTTATGTACTCGCTGCATTGGAAAGGCTCCTCATCTGTTCTCATTGTTTTTTTTTTTTTTTTTTTTTTTGTAAGCACCGTCATGGTTAATTTTCACCCACCCTTGAATAGGGGCTGGAAACATTGCATTTCTGAAATTGTATCATGCATTGTTTCTCTGGGCTGTCTGCTAACCTGACTAATTTAAATTGCATTTGGATAAGCTTCAGGATTTGTGCTTTTGACGCCCAGAAGCACAAAATCTAGTCCCAATTTTAGCCATATATGTAATTCTTGACAGAGGCTTCTATTACAAAATATTTTAATTTTGTAATAAGGGGTTTTCAGTTTGTATTCAGTTCTGTTGTCTTGCACATTTGTAACCTCTATGGGTTTTAGTAAGGTAGCCAAAGATGGACCGACCCCAAAAATTTATTCTGCTTTGATAAAAAAAAAGGTTCTGCTGAGTGGTATAACTGTGTGCAACTGTATCAGGCTATGTCTGGAGGGGAAGTTGGGGAGTTAGGTCTTGATTCTATTCCCTACCACACTACTGGGGCTTATAAGGTTCTCAACTTACTGGTCTCTTTCTAATTCTCCATCACATTCCCTTCAGAGCTGGTTCCTAAGTTTTGGTCCATGTGAATGATGCCCCTTTAAATATGACATTTCTGTAAAATAGCTCAAGTTAAAATACACAAGGAACACAGTTGCATTGAATTATCGAAATACTTTGAGAGAATCAATGGGTGCCTAGATCATCAAACTGCATGGCTGATACACTTGCAAAACAAGAGAGCAAACGTACTATGCGTCACAAATGAAAGTAATTATTTGTACATAATTACTAGCCCTAAAGAGGAAGCAATTATTTGTACATAAATCATTTGAATACTACATATTTTACCATTAACAAAGTAGTGCTGTTTTTTTTTGATCAGTAACATTAACGAAGTAATGTTACCAATTAAAAGAAAAAAAGAAACATAAACATAACATTTAAAACACGTTCAAAGTGAAAGTGTGGAAGTGAAAGCAAATGTATGCTCATTGTTCGAAACTCCATAGTGCTTAAAGCAATCAACAATTCAAGCATGTGAAACCTTCAATATGTTTATTTACCTCCTAGCTGCATTACTTAAAGTAGGTAGTATGAAATATTTGGATGAGGTGTTTATGCAATCAGGTTTGGATTTTGCAATACGCATCTGAATAATAATAAAAAAACAAAAAATAAAAAATATATAAAGTTTATAAAAATTTCGGATATATTATTATTATTATTATAATTATCATCATCTAGAATTGTCATGTGCGAAGCACGTGCATACTTACTAGTCATCACAAAGGTGTAAAACACATTAGATTCTACAAAAAAAGGCATATTTAAAATGTGTGCACTTGGGCTGAGGTGAAAAGGCACACCGAGTGTATGTCTTTTGAAAGGGGCTGCACCTGGGTTTAGGTAAGGTATATGCCGTAAAATGTGCCTCATCTATATGCCTAGGTGTGCCTTTTTAAAACACACTAATAGCATTTATTTTCTTTATATGGTGTTAGGTGGAAATCTCTATATAGTGTTGAATCATTGTTCTAGATGGAGTTTTATCCCCAAAGACAAAAAGAAAGGAGGTGCCACCAAGATGCATGTGGGAAGCCATTTTATGGATGACTTGGGAAAAATGGAAACACGAGAGTTTTCTTAAATACAGATAAGCCTAAGGAGGACCTAATTGACTTGACAAAATCAGGGTTGTACATTGGGCAAAGAAGAGTTCTCACACTTTATTGTTGATGATATTCTTAGAGGATGACAACTGCTAGTGCTAGCTACATTATCCTCTAGAAGGGATAGAGTTATGGTAGATTGGACCCCACCTCACACAACTGAAAAGAAATAAACTTTTGATTGTTGTAAATTGGGCAATCCAGGTGAATCGAGGGTAGAAGGAGCTCATAGAGATCATAGAGGAGATATTCTATTTGCTTTTTCAAGCTTGATAACTTTGGAGAACTCAATAAAGTTTGGACTCCAAGCAGTGGTTCAAGGGCTAAGACCAGTTGGCACTTTGAGCTTCAAGGATCTGCTTATGGAAGGAGATTCATAAATGGTCATTGGATGTTTAAAATCAGAATGTAAAGGATCATGGCACCTTAGGCACTAGATTAAGGATTCAAGACATTTAGCTGATGAAATGAAAGCTGTTTTTAGTTAGACCCATACGCCTAGGCGATGGATTTTTTTAAGTAAAACCATATATCCTAGGGTAGTTCCCTAGGTTCCATAACCATCTTTCCATAATAATTATCCATAATTTTGATAAGGGAAGTATAAATTTCATGTTTTAAGTTTAGAAAATCAACGTTTTATGAGAAGAAAAGGAACAAAGGAAAGAAAATTCAAAAAATATAGGGGCTGAACCCCTACGTTTGTTATAGGAAAAGAAAAGGTGGAAGAAGAAGATCTGTAAGAAGAAAATGTATTAATTAGACAAAATTTGAAGTTCTTCCCTTGCTTATTGGTTCAGGTTCTGAAATCTTTAAGGATTCAATCAAGGATCAAAACTTAGATACAATACGCCCCATATCGGGTGTATTGTATTGTATCTTTGGCACCCAATACACATGTTTACAGGTGTTTTCGGGAACCCATTTTTTTTTTAAAATAATATATATATATATATATATATATTTAAAAATGAAATTGAAAACCAAAGAAATAAAAAAATAGGGGGAGTATCATTATAAGTACTGATACACCTCTGCCGATACACAGAGGTGTATCAATACTTTGAACCATGGGTTCAATATAGCAGTTAGCAATGCTTGTGTTGATTAAACCCTAACAAATAAGAAAATAATAAAAAGAAATTAGTACATAAACACATAAAATGAATATTCTAGTTTAATAATGCCTATTTTATAATTATAGTGTCAAAAATAAAAAATATAAAAGTATTTTATGACATATTGCACAAAGCTACTTGGCGACTGGGCGAGGCAAGCCTCCAAGGGCGCCTTGTTGCCTAGGCGTCGCCTTGACGACTATGGTTAGACCCTCCATTCTGCCAACTCTCTAGCTTGACAAGGAGCAAGCAGACAATACCTGGTTTGGTTGAATATCCTTTTGGGGGAAGCTGTAAGAGGCTGGGAGCCTGGCTCTATATAGACATATACTGCTTGTATGATAAAGGGCAGCCCAGTGCACGAGGCTCCTGCCAATGCGGAGATTAGAAGGGACAGATATACGCAGCCTTACTCCTGCAGATACACAGAGAGGCTATTTCCAAGATTGGAACCCTTCTTGTATGATCCTACATACAAATTCACTATCATTAATAAAATTTTAAGTTTTTTTTTTTTGATCAGAAAAATTTATATTATTATATTAATTGGAAGTGAATAAGTACAAGAATGTCTTCACAGTACATAAGCTGATTTACAAAGAAGCCCAGTACAAATGCTGTCTTACATCACTTTGTTTTGCTAGGGAGTCAGCTAGCCCATTTGCGCTCCTTCTAACCCATTTCAATTCAGCATTTAGGTCCTTCTCCATCCTTTCTACTTCCTGAAAACATGTTTGAGGGTCCATGGGATATGTCTATTACATCTTGCCCATCATATAATGACTTTTGAGCCCCTTTCCACCTCCACTTGTCTGAAGCCCAATTGTTTTGCAAGCCTGAGCCCCTGTAGTAGTGCCAAAATTTCTGCCTTCACCAAATTTGCAGTACCAATTTGCCCTGAATATTAAGCCAGTATCCTAGTATCTGAGTTTCTAATTGCACCCCCTATTCCTGCCAACCCCGGGTTGCCCAATGAGCTCCCATCAAAGTTACGTTTTATTTTAGCACCTACTGGGGGTTTCCACTCCATTCTTATCTCATCTCTTTCCTTAGAGGAAAGTGCTATCACCCTCCAATTCCTTATAATGTCAGACAGTGAGAAGTTGTGGAAACTGTTCATGGTTTTTACCCAAAAGGCTACCTTCACTTTAATACTATCTAGCATCTCCTCCAGAGACCTGCTCTTTGCCAAAATAATTCTATACTTAAGGTGATAAGGTCTCATTCAGCCAGTGATTCAAAAGGTGTACCTCAGGCATACCTAGGTACACGGGCGAGGCGCATTTGAGGGCCTGCACCTCGCCTATGCCCAGGCACAGCCCCTTTAAAAAGGTGCGTGCCTGGTGTGTATGCCTTGCACCTCAGCCCAGGTGCGCACTTTTTTTTTTTTTTGATTTTTTGTGCATTTTGCGTTTTATATGCTATTTATTTTATTTTATTTTTGCATTTCACTTTAAATATGTTTTATATGTTATGTCTATGTATTTTAGTTTTAGATAATAGGCTTTTTAAAATATTTAGTTTAAAATTAAAGTTGGATTTTTTAATTAATACCATTTTTATATTTTCTTAATTAATTTTTAATTTTTTTACATTTTTTGAAAATTTTAAAAATTTTGTGCCTTGCTTCAAAAAGGCACGCACCTTGCCTTGCGCCTTTTGCCTTGGGTGCAAAATATCCTCTGTGATTTTTTTACGTCTTGCGCTTTTAAAACACTGCATTCAACTCAAGGGATGCAGGTTCATTCACTCAATTTGGGGAGTTCTCACTTGCTTGGCCTGACCGGGGGAATTGCTCAACTTTGTAACGGAGGCTTCATGTCCTCGCATGCAAGGATTGCTTAGTCTAGAAACTTTTCTTTACAGGATATGTATTGTATATCACCACATGCATTATGTTTGTCTCAGTTATTTTGTAGCTGTTCTGGTCGTGATTATAGTTTGCTATTATCTGTTTGTGCATATTTTTGTTTTTGTATCCTTTTTTGGTCTCACCAGTCTTCTCTAGAGGGAGTGGATTGTATCTTCCTTTGTTATATTGTTCCCTCGAATGGAATTCTTTTCTGGCTTTCCCATCTCAAATTAAAACATTTTCCTTGGTTGTAGTTTCAATAACCTTAAGTTGTGATATATTATGCCTTTTAAAATTTAATATTTGCATTTCATTACTAATTATGATTTATTTCTATTTTGCCTCAGGAATATCACTCAAGACACAAGAGCTATATGTTATAGTATTCCTCACTCGATACCTTGACTTGTTCACAAAGTACATCTCCTTCTACAATACTACAATGAAGCTGGTCTTTCTGGGCACTTCAATTAGTATTGTGTGGTACATGAGGTACCACAAAGTGGTCAAACAGACATATAACAAGGACCAAGATACCTTCCGGCATTACTTTCTTGCTATTCCTTGCTTCTTGCTTGCTCTTTTGATTCACCATGAGTTTACCGTTATTGAGGTATAACATATTATCTTTTTCTTTTGGAATTAGTTTGAATTTTCTTCTTGCAGTCTATAGTTCCTGAAACATTAATTCATTTCTCAGCCTAGCTACTGAAACATTTTAAGGACCAAATCTAGTCCATGGCCATATGAGGATATTGTCCTTGGATGACTTCACTGTGTTTATTATAATCATTTACATATCTATCCTTTTGTTCTGTACAATCCATCAATAAAGCTTCATCCCAACTTAAGGTCTAATATTTAACTTATTTGCATTATCATGTCTATTGTGTTTTTAGTAGTTCTACTGTAATGCTATGTTCTGTTTGGATACCTTCTCCCATGATCAAGTTCTTTGGGAAGATATTTTTGACAAATGGGGGACTCTGAATTCTTAATCTCAAAATATGCTACTTAGGCGAAGAGTTTGATTTTAAACCAAAAGATGGAGAAAGATAGGTACATTGTTTTTGGGTTAGATGAACATGATTGTGTACTTTTTAATCCTATGTTCTCTATTTGGCCAAAAGGAAGGGAAAAAAGCCTGACCATTTTACCTCCACAAGGCCACAAATTTGGTGCCTGATGGGTTGATATTAACTTGAGGTGCTTCATACAAGGAACTTCAGAAAGCCGTAAATGGAGAGTCATCTAGACTGTACCAGTATGAGGGGGCAGGGGGTTCTGATAGAGGCCAAAAGTCCTCAGGGAAGCTAGAATAAGTGGTGGGAACTCTAAATGCAGTTAGAAGCTGCAGAACTCAAAATGGCGTTGGGCCTAACAAGTTGCTCAAAAAACCTAAATGATCTTTCAGAAGACGTCAAGAACAAAAAATTAAATAAAGAGTTAATGTGTTGGAATTCCTTTTAGGATTTGGGTGCTTTGTGGGTTCAGTTTGTTTCTTTTGTTTAGTTTTAGGCGTTGGTGCTTTTGTGCATGCTTTGTTTTGTTTTGTTTGGGTGTTTTTTTTTTCCCGGTTAGTTTGTTGGTTTCAGTTGGTTGGGTCTTTTATCATCTGTTTGCAGGCTTTTGCATTGGGTTGCCACYTCCGAGGTGATTGCTTATCACCTTCCTTGTAATTTCTTTTTTGTTTAATAAAATTTTATTTTTTCTTAAAAAAATCTAGACTGTTCCAATAGTAGGAGGATCTTCTTCAGAAAAACCTAAATGAGGAGCTCCTCCTCTTTGTAGCACCTCAGAGAGATGGAACTAATGGAAGTTCGCTTGGAAACCTGGGTTGACCTATTATCCACGGTGGTTTTTTCATTAACATAGATGGCCATACTGTTTAGGCCTTCATTGGTTCCATTGGGATGTACATTCCAAGGTAGAGGTGGTGGCTCTTCTTATAGGATTGAGAATCACCTCAAAATTCAAGTCTCCTTCCTTGTCCATTGAAGGAGACTCAACAAAGGTATTGGATGCCACGGGAACAGGTGGCAAATGAAGGATTTTTTTTTTTTTGATCGGCAACACAGAAAAGATTTCATTAATGAGAAAAATCAGGTTACAACAAGAAGTAGTGAAAAGAAAAAACCAGCTTTAGGTCAGGATTACATTTGAGCCCAAAACGTGTGTTCTATGTATCCCTTGTTTGGCTAAGCTATCTTCCAAACTGTTGGCAGTTCTCCTCACCCATCTCACTTGGATTGCCATGTCCTCTGGTAGCCATTTAAATCTCCTGAATTCATTCCTTAAATGCCATGTCACCCCCTTCCCCTTATGCAGACATTTTACCACAGTTTTTGAGTCTCCCTCAATAATCAGTTTACTAATACCCAGTTCTTTCACCTTCTCAACCCCATATACTGCAGCCAAAAACTCTGACCTTGCCACATCATCTTGCTCAACAGGACTTGAGTATAAAGCAAGTATGTTCCCATCTTCATCCCTAATGGCCCTCCCATACCTGAAGGGCCCAGATTACCCAAACAACTCCCATTAAAGTTCAGTTTCTTCCAGCCATTTATTGGTGGAGACCATGTCTCAACAGATCTCTGTCTTGTAGATGAGGTGGCAAATGGAGGCTTAATGAAATGAGATATGACATTTGTAACCTGACTGTTCATAACCATTGCATTTCTAGATAGTTGAATGCAGCAGAGAATGGATTATCTAGGTCAGCTGTTGGATGGGTTATTTTTGTACCGACTATTTTATGTCTGTACAGTTTTTCTTCTGAGCATAGAGCTGCAGAATAATTCCCGTAAGAGCATTGGACATCCTCTAATGTGTGTGTGCTGCTCTCATTGGAGGGAGGGAGGGGAAGAGGAAAACCATGTGTCTGGATTCGGTTTACAATTTTCTTATGTTTACATATGAATCTTAGTTGAAATAAGTTTTCAAAATCTTATTTATTATTTTCCTTTGTTAATTTGTGTATAATGATTTGACACAGGATAGGAAGACCATAATTTGTACGCCATTTTAAATAAGGGAACAGGGCATTTACTGATAGGAAGACCAAAATTGCACAAAGAATCCTATAAAATCAAGTTCAACCAGAGGAAACTTGTATCTTCTCAGTCACTTGCCAATCGTATGGCCTGCTAATGTCAGCTGCTGGTGATGATGATGTCAGCAGATGGCAGGTATCCTTGTGACCAGAGCCTTGAGCTCTGATACCAACTTGGTAGATTTATTGAAGAAACACAGAAAAAGATGTGGAATAAAAGAATATTGGAAAGGGCAAAAAAAAAAAGAGAAATAAAAGAGAGTTTGTGAGAAAAGGTGTCTTTCTTGTGTTTAAGACCCCGTTTTATTTTCTTATATAAGAAGCACCATAACTAAAATACCCCTGATTACTCAATGGTCCTCAGATTGTTCAAGGACTTCTTTATGCCACTTTGTATGAGTAGCTAGATCCTTAGCATACAAAATGAATAGAACATTTGGATGAAGTCGGGTCAGTGACATTGCTTGCTGACTAGCAAGAGGGGGAGTAAGGAGTTCATTGTATTAGGTGCAACCATCCTGTGTTGGTTTGTTTTTAGTTTCTAATATTGTATTAAAACATAGTTTCTGTTTTTAGCATCATTGTTTCTCCTCCAGTTCATTTAACACATAATTTTTCTTTCATTTTCTGCACTATTCAGATTATTTTTTCACTCTCCTATTTCCCCTTCCATATGGCATGTGCACATTGTGAATTAATTCTTATTATCTGTTTTCAATTCCATTTATTGAAGATTTAGTATCATTAATATTATATAATATATTTTGTTATGGACTCTAATAGAAACACAAATTAATGTGATAGGTTTTATGGACATTTTCAATATATCTTGAGGCCGTTGCAATTTTACCTCAATTGGTGTTACTACAAAGGTCAAGAAACATAGACAACTTAACTGGAAATTATGTTTTTCTACTTGGGTAAGGCTGGCATCCTTCCAAATATTAAGTTGTGTTGGTTTAATTTTTTGGTTCATTTCTCACATATATTTTTCATTAGAACTCTGCTAGAGAAACCCTTTTGATATATATACTAATGGTTAACTGATAACTTTATTGTTAAGAAAAAGAATGAGATGATTACAGCCGTTTCCTATAGTTGGGATAAGGCTTGGATGATGATGATGAATGGGATATTTACATAAGTGCCTTGAAGACCCTCTATGGGGGCCCCTACCCCCAGCCTACACTCATCCATCGTTTTTTATCAGCAACAGACTGACAGAGAACAAATTTTATTAATTAGAAGAAATATAGATACAACAAGAAGTTGTTCAACCCAGCTTTAGAAAATTACAATTGTGCCCAAAACAGCTGTGTTCTTTGTACCCCTTGCTTAGATAAGCTATCCGCCAAGCTATTGACAGTTCTCTTCACCCATCTCACTCGGATTGACATATCCTTTGAGAGCCATTTAAGTTTTCTGAGTTCGTTTCTCATCTGCCATGTCACCCCTTCACCCTTCTGCATCCAGTTTATCACTATTTTTGAGTTTCCCTCAATAACCAGTCTGTTAATACCCAGTTCTTTTGCTTTTTCCACCCTAAATACTGCATCCATGAATTCTGATCTCGCCACATCACCCTGTCCCACTGGACTGGAGTAGAGAGCAATGGTATTTCCATCTTCATCTCAAATAACCCCTCCTATGCCTGAGGGGCCCGGATTCCCCACACAGCTCCCGTCAAAGTTTGGCTTCTTCCAACTGTCTATTGGGGGAGACCAATTCTCAACAAATTTCTGTTTTGTTGATGAGGAGGCGACAATAACACCCCAAACCCTGAAAAAATCTTCTACCTTGAAATTTGAGAACAACTTCATGCTTTTTGCCCAGTGTGCTACTCTCAAGGTTTTTGGTTCAATCAATGCTTCCTTGCTTTTTTCTCTTCAAATATTCTTGTATTTCTTTCCTCCCAAACAGTTCACAATATTGCTGCTCTAGTCACTTCCACATGATCTTACCCCTCCTTTTAGTGCAACTAATGCTGGTGGAGCTAAATAAGCCGTCCAATCTGTCCAGGAAGACCACCTGCAACCAAAGAGGTATGCAAACCAATACCATATAAAACTAACAAAAGGGCAAGAGATTAGAAGATGAGTTGCAGTTTCACCATTCAACTTACACAGGACGCACCAGTTGGGGGACAAAGACCTGTTTGGACTTTCTTTGAAGTAGGTCATAGGTATTAATACAACCATGAAACACTTTCCAACAGAAAGCATCGACTTTAGGGGGAATGGGAGAGCACCAATACATCTGTTCATTAGGGGGAAGTATGTCAAACTCGTACATAGTTCATTATAGCATGCATTAATCACCCCAAATACATCTGTTCCCAGTTTACCCCATGTTTTGCAAGTGGGTCAGTCATGCTGTTTGCTGATCTAGGTACCCAGTGAACTGAGATGACCATCTCCCTTATGCATGCTTAATTTCTCTCAAGGTGTGTTGGTACTGCCAGGTTTCCTGATTACCTTTCTGTAGCCAGCTCATTATGTTCTTCGAATCTCCATCTACCACTGTTTCTCATATTCAGCCTATTCCCTAATCTTAGTCCAAATAAGACTGCTAGAATCTAAGCTCTTGAGGAATCCCCAAAGTCAATAGGTCCTGAAAACAATGCTAACACAAACCCATGGTTATCTCTAAAAACTCCTCCAATTCCTGACATGCTTGGGTTGCTCATGCTGCACTCGTGAAAATTAACCCCTTTGATATTTAGCCTTATAATCACGTAAAATAACAAATAAATGGGCCGAATGGGCCCTAGTGTTCTTTATTTCTTTTAAGTAGTGTTTAAAAGTTATGCTTCTTAGTTATGGGCCTTCTTTTATTTTCTTTAATTATTTCTTTAGTGCTGGCTGCCCCATTAAGGGCATCCAAGTAATTGTACTCAGACTTAGAATTATTAATAAAAGTGATGAAAGGGGGCTAGAGAGAGAGGTTCAAATTCTTCTTTTCTCTCTTCCCTTCTTTTCTTCTTCCACAACCTATTGCTGAAACTTCTTTTCTTCTTCTTCTTCTTCTTCTTCTTCTTCTTCTTCTTCTTCTTCTTCTTCTTCGTCTTCGTCTTCGTTCTCTCTTTGCTTCTTTTCTTGCATTATCTGAATTACTGTAGGTGTAATTTTCAAATACATCATTTATCAATTGCTCAGTAATCAATATTCATGATGTTGCTAGAATGACCAAGTTTCAACTAGGTTGACTGGGTTAACCAATAATTAGTTAGAATAAGAACTTTCAATCTTTCGATTCCAAGGGGTTGAGGCATAGAGGAACATGTGTTTAAGAAGAAACTGTTTGGTATTTACGTTTACATTTCTCATTCTCATGAGGTATGAAACCATTTTCTAATCAACAAGGGGCTATAATCCAAGAGGTTGGATCTTTGGAGTTTCTTGCTGCTCTCCCCATGCTTGGGCCTGTAGGAGGAATGAAACCATTTAGCAACATTTGGTTATTTTGGTGTCTGTTGACTCTGTTCTTAAGAATTTCCAAAGCCTGAAATATGATCACTTTTGTAATAATTATCAAAAAAATTTTGTAATAATGGGATGTTAAGGGGAGTATTATATGCTTTATTGCGTTCTTATTATGTTTCTTATTCTATTCAGTTATTGGGCCAGCCTAGGCCCAGCTCAACTTTATTTTATTATTCATTATAGTATAGCCGACCTATTAAGGGCATTATTATCTTTTTGCTTTTATTTGTACTCCAATCGAATATAACAAAGATTAGGGTGCAATCAGCTCAAGATTTGCATTTTCTCACTCAAACACTTGTGTGTTCTCTCTTTCTCTCTCAACCGCTGAACACTTTTCTTCCTTTTTTTTTCTTCTCTAAATCTTTCATTAATCTTTAATTTTTCCTGTCTTTGATTTCCATACTAAACATGTATGCGTTGTATATAGTTTTATATCATTAACCATGTAAAGTTCTATATGGACTGATGCCTATTTTTTTTTACTAAACTTAATACAATACAAATGTGTAATTATAAAAATGATTAGTTTATCACCAATTTATTTTAAACTTTTACTTGCTTGTGTTTATTTCTTACCATTTAAAATAGTATTATATTTGCATTTGTTTTGTTTTATGACGTGGGTTGGTGATGCAAGCATTGGGTAAAAGAACATAAATCATGGAGGAAGAAATCAACTTTCTCCAACCCCAATGGTAGTTATGTAATTTATGAATTTCTTTTCTCTGTTTAGGTCATTGTAGGAGATGAATCTGTAGAGTCAAAATAGTTTAATGTCCTATTAGTGAGTTCTTAGAAATTATTGAAATTGAGGTTATATGTTTGTCACTTTCCTTTTAATACAATTTTTTTTGGCTTAAAACTTGTTCTTTTTTGGCTTGATTTGGTGTCACTAGATAGGTTATTATGTATACAATGAAACCGGGATCTTGTTTTCTTTGGCCGTTTTATTGATAGGGTGTCAAATGGTAACATGAATTGAGTCATTCTATTTTTGCATTCAAGACTTGGGTTGTAGTAGGATCAACAGTAGGTAATTAGAGTTTTTTTTTAAGAGTCATGATCCTTATTGGATTGTGCTTATGGATTATATATGGATTTGTTTTGATTTTAGCTTCAAGGAAATTAGCAATTGTCTTTTGGTTAGTTTTTTTTAGTCTAAATTGGAGTCTGGAAATGGAGGATTGGCTGAATTTATGAATGAAGATTTAGTGTTGAGTTTACTGCTCAAATCTGTAATCACTTCGAGGGTGATTTAACCTCCTATAGAAGAAATTAGCAGAAGAGAGGTGGCTGACCCAAGGTATGGAAGTAAGATTGCCGTGGGTTAAAAGAAGTGCCAGTTCCTTTGTAAATGCACTTGCCAAACAAGGGGTGGGAAGGGATCAATCTTAAACCTCTTTAGGTTGTTTTTCTCGTTCTTCCTTTTTCAATGCTCTGGTGCTCATTACTAACCTGGTTACCTCCCTTTTTTTTGATCAGTAACAAAAAACTTTATTAATGATGTGAAGATTTATGAAGCTTTAGATACAATAGGGGAGGTAAAATGTCTTAACTCCCCATCAACAGAAAACAATGAGAGAAAGTTAAAGATTAGCCCAAAAGATAGCCTCCCTATTCACCCCTTGCTTGGCCAGCCCATCTGCAAATGAGTTAGCAGTCCTCTTAACCCAGCTATATTGTATCTCAATGTCCCTGCTCAGCCAACTGAATTTTTTCTTTTCATTGTTATAGCTCCACAAGCCACTGTCCTCATCCTTCAGCTAGAAATCACCACCTTCGAGTCACCTTCTAGGACCAAACGTCTGATATTTAGTTCCCTTGCTCTTTGAATTCCTTCCTGAGCTACAAGGATCTCAGCCCTAAGAGAGTCTCCTTCCCCAATGGGGCCAGAGAACAAAGCAATAACAACCCCTTCCTCATTCCTGAATACTCCCCCAATCCTAGAAGGCCCTGGATTCCCCAAATTACTGCCATCAAAATTCAGTTTTATAAATCCAGAGGGAGGAGGGGACCAGGAGGGGCTAAGAGTCCTCTTACACAAAGCAGGGGTAGCTAACTCTTTCCAAGTTCTTAATAAGTCAGCCACAGGAAAGTCTGAGAGAACAACTCCAAAGATTTTAGCCAATGGACAGCCCTTAAAAGTATTAGGTCTAATAGGTTTTCTAGGGTTCTTTCCTTGTTTGAGAAAATTCATGAGTTTCTTTCTTCCCATAGGGACCAACATACAACTGCCCTAATGCTCCTCCACATAATCTTCCCTCTCTTCTTAGGCCATCTGAAAAACGTAGGAGAGAACAAACTTTGGACACTCTCGGGGGAATTCCAAAAACACCCAAAGAGGGAAAGAGCCCACTTCCATACAGTTTTAGTGACCTTACAAGAAACCATAAGGTGGTAACTAGTTTCCCCATCAGCTTTACAAAGAGTACACC